AACGGGGTCGTAGTCACGACTCGCGGGATTTGCCCCATTCATTCGCCGTTACAAATATGTTAGTCATGCATAATTGCCCGGCAGGCCCGTTCAATGAGACAGGAGCGCACCATCCGAGTCCACGGAATATCGGAATTCAATTCGTCCCTCGAAATATTAAACGCGTCCGCGGTCCCTGTAATCTGGACATCGATCGGCCCGAATTAATTATTTCCCGCCTTAATACCGGCCTGCATGATAACGCGCCAGCCGATGGCCCGTGCTAAATATAAAACACAGCTCGACGCGAAATGCAACGGTCGCGTGGTAAATCCGCGTGATCGATGGATCACGGGAATGTGGGTAATGCGCCGATATCACTGCACCTCCCTTTCTCTTCTTTTCCACTGAATTTACACGTCGACGTTATTCCGCGCATCGAAGGGAAAATTGAACGCGGGATCTCTTTCTTCTTTCGTGGTTTCATTTTTCCGCTGGACAAAATAATAACACCCATTGATGTTCGTCTCGATGTTATTCGAAAGTGATTATGTGTACGTAAAAGTTTGCGAGAGTGCTGTTTTTTCCTTGATTATGTGAAAAAGGTCGGTTGCTATTTGTAATTCTTCTTAGCGCGTGAATTAAAAATTAAAATGTTGGGATATGCGAGAAAAAAATATATTTGAAAACAATATTTCATTGTATTCTTAATATAATGATTGTAAATTATGAATATTAATATTAATATGTTTATTAATATTGATATTGATTATACTATATAACAACCAGCACACGGCGATTTTGATGAAACTTCTGTGAAACATAGTTCTCAAGAAAGTATTTGCCATATATTTTTTCTTATCGGCCAACATCCACTTTGAACGGGTGAGAACTTCCCTCAGAGTTGAGGGTTGAACACATATTTTTTACAATATCAATGAAACTAGGGGTGTAGGAATGAAATCTATGTTGTTCCGTTTGAGGCGAACAATTTAAAAGACAGATTTCTTTTCTACAGACCCTAGTTTCCGATATATTATAAAAATATACTTTCAACCCTCAAATTTAAGGAGTGTTTCCACCCGTTCAGAGTGGCTGTTAGCCGATAAGAAAAGATACGTGTCAAATATTTTCTTGAGAACTGTTTCACAGAAGTTTCATCAAAATCGCCGTGTGCTGGTTGAAATGGTTCCCTTGTAGGCATAGAATGTAGTTCTAAAGATCTCTCGTACATAATTAAAATTAAACATTAGCACGTAGGTGTGCTACAAAATTTTTCCCTTGCTCGACAACACTTTAAAAGTGTTTCAATAAAAATTGGACATGATCAATAAATAATGCAATTTTAATAATACATATATATTTATATACAGTGACTCACGAAAGTATTTGAACACTTGCCATGAAATACTTTTTTAAATATAATAAGTGTATTATACAACTCTTCCCGAAATATTACAAACACTGAAAGGAGGTATGACTCTCTAGATTAGATAAGTAAAGTTTCAAGAAAATCAAAAGATGTATAAAATAGTTATGAATTATTCCTTATGAACATAAAGATATTGCTGAAGCCACAAAAATATTTGAACACACAGAAACGAGTTCCAAGAATCAATGAAAACACAGTTTTTCGAGCACTGAATGTAAACATTGAAACGTTAGTCGTCATCGTATATACATTTGTCAGTCACATTCTAGCATTCATGGTGAAATATTACGATATTGATCATGTGTCCTAAAACATCTGAAATTCCTCAAAGTGAAAGAAAATTAATTGACAAGTGGCGTAAAGAAGGAAAGACGTTTGGTGAAATAAGTAAATTATTAAATATAGATAGATCTACAATACATTATATTATTAAAAAATGGAACTTTAAAGGAAATCTAAAAAATAAATGCCGTTCCGACCGACCAAAAACTCTAACGGAAAGAGATAACAGAGCTTTGATACGTGAAATAAAAAAAAATTCAAAAATTTCTGCTACAAAACTTGCAGCGATAGTTAAACAGAACTTCGAGAAAGGTGTGCATCCAGAACTATGCAGAAGAGTGCTACGTGAAAATAATTATCATGTCAGGGTTCCAAGAAAAAAGCCGTACATTAGTGATAATAAGAAGAGATTAAAGCTTTAAGAAGAAGACATTTAACGTTTTTGGTTCGGACGGATGTAATTTTATTTGGAGACAAGCAAATATAGAGATGGAAGCGAAAAACTTGCGTGCTACAGTGAAACATGTGGGTGACTCAGTTATTATCTGGGGGTGTATGGTGGTAGACAGCACTGGGAATTTGGTCTTCATAGAGGGAACAATGGATAAATACAAATATTTAAACATTTTACAACAAAATTTAAAGGAAAGTACAAGAAAATTGGATATATACGAGGACTTTTACTTTCAAGATAATGATCCTAAACATACTGCAGGAATCGTTAAGAAATGGATCATATGTATAATACTCCCCACATATTGGTCACATCACCACAAAAGAGCTGATATTAACCCAATTGAACATCTATGGGCAATAATAGGGAAAGAGTTACAAAAATTTAATATAACATCCAAGTCAAGTTTAAAACAAAAAATACTGGAAGTGTGGAATTCTATATCATCAAGTGTTACAGAAAAGTTAGTAAACAGTGTGATTTGAGGTCCAAAGGTGGACCTACTAAATATTAAAGATTGAAAAGGTACCTGTTCAAATACTTTTGTGGTTTCAGCAATCTTTATGTTTATAACAAATAATTCATAACTATTCTATATGTCTTTCGATTTTCTTTACACTTCACCTATATAATCTAAAGAATCATACTTCCTTACATTGTTTATAATATTTCGGTAAGAGTTGTATAATATACTTATTATAGTTAATAAATTGTATATATCATCAAATAAGACTCCTTTACTTTTTATATTTTCAGAGCAGATAGTTATATTCTTAAAAATTACATTATATTCACATGACAAGTTTATTCGAGGGACGTGTCAATGAGGTTTTCAAATGACACGTATACTTGTCAAACACAATTAACTGGTTAAGCAATGATTTGTACATACAATTTGTTTAACAACTGTTGCAAAATTACGTTTCAGCTTTATTCAACTATTGCTTTAGCTTTTCTACTAAACTAAACAGACCCAGAATGTCTGTAAAAATTCATAAATGGCCTACCATTTTGTCGCATAATGTGGACCGAATACCATAGACCGTGCACAAAAGTATCGAAAAGACGTTCCCTAGAAAAGGATCGCCGTTTGTGATGAAGAATCGCAGCTTTCTTGGAATCGGTACCAACAGGTGTGCCAGTTTCTGGGAATGCAGCGTGTATATTTCTTTATGCACTGTGGCTGCACGTGTTCCAGCGATTAAATAAACACATTCTTCATTATAGTTTGTGTGCATATTGTGGAAAAGATACCATAAAATAGCTAAATATCAAACTTTATTGTATATACAATACTACTAAAGTACTTGGATCAGCTTTCGTTATGTATGTATTTATTTTAATCCTATTTCTTAATTATGGATTTTCTATTGAATTCTTAATTATGTAGATAATCGACGAAATATCGTATAAATTACCTTTATACAGAAATTCTTGGATTTTTTTAATAAAGTTTGGTTTTGTTTAGATGATTTTATCCCCTTGTCTTATAATTTCTTTCATAACTGCGTACGCTACGATAACATTGTCATTAATAACTTATTAAAAAACAAAGGAAAATCCCTAATTCATCTATATCCACCTTATGTATTTTCGAATACAACAATTAGTAATAGAAAGATTTTATTGTATAATCTACAAGTTGCTAATGTACACAATATTAGTGCAATTCTAGTTTGAACAGTGCACAAGAATCAACATTCAAATAAAAAAATTAAGAGCAATAAACGATTTCAATGCTTTATTTGAATTATATACATTTTGATACTTTATACTTCTTTTTGTGGACAATTATTGGTTATACTGATCACGGAACGAAATTTTTAAAGAATAGTCAAACAAAAATATTAATGTTGTTGTTAAAAAATCTTTGATGATTCAATATCTAAGACGCAATATAATTTTAGTGTTGTGTGAATAATGAGTAACAGAGCAGAATTTAACGAAAATTGATAGTGCAGTATTTGATTTATATCACGTTAGGAAAAGATAAATTTAAAAATTTGATGAAAGCATGAATGTTTTAGCGAGAATATTTCATTAATGACGCTTATATAATTTAATCGATCTAACATTATTGCTAATGGAAACAGCCTTCCTTCTATCTCGGCGAGCGTCTACCATTTACCATTAAACAGCGGGGCTCTTCATAATTCCTCAAAACACGATATCGATAAAGCCACCGAACCGAACTTTGTCGAACATTAAACGTGACTGAATCAGAAAACGAAACATTTTCTAGAATAATTTCTTTATTTTTGTAATAAAGGCATTTTTCGACATAATTCTAATAAAACATTTTAGCAACTAAAATTCTAACCCTATGTATATTTATATATATAACATAATTTTATATAAATATACGATCTAAGATTTTAATGTTTGGGTGTCTTGTGTTATTACAATTCTATAGACAGCAACAGTTTTAACTTACACCATATTAGACGCAAATAATATCTCCTCAATTTTTAATTTCGTTGAATACAAAAGTGCTGATCACAATTGAAAATTCTTTGAACTCTGTCAGGTGACATTAGGTATACTTATCCTATAAATCGCCATTGCTAAGTTTAGATTTGGCGGCAATAAGAACGAATCAAGCCGGATCGAAGTCCGAAGAGTCTGAGCCGCGTACCAGCCGAGGGGACCACGTGCTTCTTAATGCGAGATCGTTAAGTGCATCAACGATCGCGTCTCTTTAGCATTCAAATTACATTGGCGTCACCTGTCGCGCGGGACCAGAAAAATTCGACAACTCAATTTGAATAAATTTCGCGGCGTGCATTCGAGAGCATGCGATAAAACTTTCTCGAGCATAAAATTAGCGACTGTACGCGATGGTTTGCGGCCTACCTTCTCTGATCGTGCACCATAAATTCTTCTTGGTCCCCGAGCACACTTTCTTAACGAGATCTTCGTCGATTGTCCACTGGGACCGCGCCGGAAAGTCGGCCCAGACGCACAAACACCCTGAAACTTTTGCAACAACGATTCACTTTAAACGTCAGCTTGTTCCATCATCTCATTCGAACGCATCGATCGCGACGCGAAGAAATCAAGATTCAATTATAACCCCGACATAAATCTCTGTTTCACTTTGGCCTGTCGATTAGAGCTGCGTTGAAGTCACCGACACTGTTTTCATCGAGAAGAATTTGTCGAAACGAAGATCAACTGATGCTAGTATTAGTTCTTTTTCCTTGAAAACACTGTTTCGACGTAAAAGTATTACGATTTATTGATATTGATTTTTTCTATGGTTATTATACGTGAAATTCATATTATACAAGAATATAATATTATCTGTAGCTAGCTTTTAGTGACTTATTGTCTCGAATTTTGTATTATTATTATATTGTTATTTGTATACTCAAATATACTTGTATTCTAAGTAATTCCAAGTAATGTACATACTTATACATTGAGTTAGCTTTGTGTTTAAACATTTTCTCTTCTCCTTTCAAATAAGGGAATATAAAACACTACTCTAAATTAATAAAATTGATAACAATTTCTTAATTTTTGTTCCGTCTTTAAAATCAGTGCAAGAGGAATTAAACGATAATAATATTTTTTCAATGTATGTAACTTTGTTATCAGGAAATCTAGTTTTTAGATGATTATACTATAGCGTTGCAAATCCATGATGACAAATGAGAAACGGTAAGTAGAAAAGTGTGTATGCGTGTACAGCGAGTTACAATCGAAATGCTACGCTTTTACTGTCAAGCTATTTTTAAATGTCGCGCGCAAAGCTCCACCCAAGTTTATGAAAATGTTTAGTGTCTATGAGAAATGTAAATAACGCAATAAATTAAAAAAAAGTAAATAATTAAAAATCAACGATTTCGAGTTACCTAACTTTAAAAATAAAGAGATGACTTTTGCAATCAAACGCTTCTTAGCTAAAAAAAACAGTAATTGAAAGAAGCTAGAAAATTTCAGTTGAAAAAGTCTGCGATGTTTCAATTAAAAAGAAACGATTCGCCCAGGTTGCATGGAGACGTGAGTTCCAAATATGTCGCAGAACTTGTTTCAGAACGTTATAAACGAATATGTAAATGTTTTATAACATATCATCTCAAGTAAAAGTAATCACTCAAAAGAAATCACGTGGCACCAAATTCCCCTACAATTCACACACTACCGACCAAATACAAACTACAAATAATATTTAATACTTTAGCCTTGGGTGGGTTCAAAATTGTCCCATTTTCTTTTTGACGGTTAATGGGCGGTCGGATATTTTTCAACCTACCAAACTCAATTGAAATTACTTATACTCTTATACTATTATCATGCAGGTCGAGTTTTTCATTGCTTTAAAGTAGTCTACCCCTAAGGGTTAAATTTTACCAATTACCGAAGACTTTGATATTTTAATCGTAACACGCTGCGCAACGCGCCTTTCAAATTCAGTTATTACTAGCATCCGTCAAACCTGACGTCAACGAATTCCTCTCTGTCAAAACACTGTCGCAGAAACCTGTGCCAGAGATTTCAGCGTAACCCGTCGATTGCCACCATAGATCTCCGTTTACTCGATAGGAAAAAGCTGCGTTCCCTTTTCCACCCCACGCGGCAGCCGCGCACCAACACTGTCTCACTGCTCTCAACCTTTTACGTTTGGCATCGAACCGAGGGAATCACAGTCGAAACTTTCCCCGCGGAGTCCGATCAGTCTTTGTCGAAGGGTCTTTTCGAGAAAAAGAAGAGAAAGAAAAAAACTGGTTGGATTTCCTATTCCGCAAGTGTATCACCTTTTCCAACCCTCCTCTTCCTTCCTTCTTTATTTCTTTATTTTTTCTCGTTATCAGCCTCCCCGTTACACTCTGTCCACCAAAAGATTAGTCTCGTCGGGACGATTGAATCGCGAGGAAAACACCGTTCACGTCTTCCCCCGACGGTTGTCTGTTCCCTGATCGAGTAACGGGGACGAAATTGTCGAGTCGAGTCGAACGCGCGCGGTTCGAAGGGAAAAAGTTTTTCCAAATCTACTGCCGGGGTGGGGGGTAGGCGCGCGCGATGCTAGCCCGTAGAGGGGTGCGCGCGGCCAGCACGTGACACTTTTTATCGGGGAATCACACGTGTCACGCGAGATTATTGGCCTTTGTGAGCGCCTTGACAAATGGTCCACCGCATATGGCGCGTCGCGCACGACTGAGGCCAGATTTCGCTTCCACCATCCTCTCCCTCTGATCTACCCCCACCGGGGTTTGCTCCATCCTCTTCGGGTCCGCGGCGCGGAGCGTTTCCACGAGTGTCATCGTTCCAGCACGCAGACTCCGTTTCCACGGCGCGGCGCGGCGCTTTCCTCCTCGCGGGAGCAGACGACGACGAGCTCTTTAGTCAGGTGCCTCCTCTTCTTTTCAATGCAACGCGGAAAACCGTTGTTGTGCTGTTTTCTTGCTGCGGCTGAGGGTACACTCGTCGACAAAATCATAGTTGGCCTATGATAGTATGAAGTTGTAGGGATTTCTTGGATTTTTTTTCATGATTCGTGAATGTTGGTTTGCTTTAGGATGAAAAGGGGGTGTTTTGTTTGTATTAGTAACTGTAGCTACTTTCGTTACTTTTTGTGATAAAAGAAAGTTTGGAATGAAATTGTAGATCTATGGAGACTCTTGTTTCATGCTTGTACTTTTGGAGACATTTTTCATTCAATAGTACTAAATTGTTTTATTTGAATGATATTACAATTAATATTAAGATGAATTCAATAATGTATCATATATTTTCTGTATGAATAATAAGAATACTTGGAGTATAGTGAAGGTGAATAGGATACCTACCCGTATACTGGCAAATACAATATCTGTAAATATATGTACATAATTGGGAACACTGGAAGTAATTATAAGTATGATAGGGTGGGTAAATGTAGGAAAAACTAAACCAAGGATACATTTAAACCGTTTTAAAATTAATATGAAATATATAAATTTATTTTAAAAACTCATGAAAAAAACAGAATGCTTCCGCGATCTTTGCTTTGTAAACAATGTATTATGGGTTATATTGAACTTATATTTTATAACAAGTCAAATTTTTCAGTATTCTAGGGTAAAAACATTTTTATATCTGCTCCAGAGCTATCGTAGGAAAATACGCCGATGTGATATTCGCCGATTTTTATGAAACTTCCGTGAAAAATAGTTGTCATAAAAATATTTGATACGTATTTTATGTGTCCTCCATCATTTATATTTGAAGGACGTAAATAGCTTTCACTGTTGAAGGTGGGAAATATATTTAGTGGAATACCTTGAAAACTACTGGAGCTAGAAAAAATTCAATGAACAACTTCTGAGGTTCACCGTAACGTAATTACTTAAATCCTACTTACCTGTTTAATTGTGCGGGTTTAAAAACTTCGTCTGGCAAAGAATACGAGAAAAGACTTAGTTGACTTAGTAATCTTTTGTAACACAAAACGGTGGAAATTTCAGTATATAGGTATTTTTTATGTCGACATATGCATATACATATATAATTTTCATATCAGTAGAAATACACTCGAAAATGAGTTAACATTTGATGGTAAAAATTCAATAATATAAAGAATTAATTAGCAGTGCATTATTGAAATAAATGAAACGTTTTAAAAATTGCTTTTCACAGATAGATTGCTTTGTAAAAAGTACACATTTTCGTTACTTATTTCGTTATTTATTATAAACAATGTTCTTATCGCTTCAATAATGTTCAAATATATTTCTCATCCATAACTTTGACAGCTCTTTTCACCCCTTCAATATGATTGATGGCCGATTCAAAAAAATAGATGACGAATATTTTTGAAGTAGCTATTTTTTATCAAAATTTTATTAAATTCAGCGAATGTCACTTTCGTATGTTCTCTTGTAAGATTATTATGAGAATGAAATTGAAATTGGAAACTGCATTAACATCATATTACAAAGAATATTGATTGAACTTTGCTCGAGAACATACGCAATGAAAGAAGAAATGTTCTACGATTATTATTATTATTATTATTATCATAATCGTAGAACAATTTTTCTTTCATTGTATATTCATTCATTGCAATTATTATTATTATTATCATTATGTACAAAAGTAATTATCAGGATTGTGTTGACAGATATATTGAAAGATGGATACATGACATCATTAAATTTTTTTACATACCATCTCAACACTGTTTCAGATTTTTATTATTTTTTTAATGCCCGAAAATATTTCAAACTCTCACGTTAAAACATGTTGATGCCCTTTAATAAATGTTAGAAAAATGTATGGTCAAAGAAAAGTCCTGGTGACGTAAAATAGAAAAAATAGGTGATTATACAAAATGAGGTCATTCGAATTGTGTTTAAAATATTTCTATATCACGGAACATTTATTTTATTTTTCTATATTACTAAAAATTTATTGTAAAATTTTAGACAGACCAGTACAATTACCATATTTAAATATGATTAATAATTGTTAAAGACACTTTGTGCAAGTAAAGAACTTGCACAAAAATCAGCCTCGAGATATTATTGAAAAATATGTAAATAAAGTGATATAACATATCGAAAACACATATTGTTGTCAAAGTGAACGGCTGAGACAATAGAAAATATATAAGGATCTATTAATTGTTCAACATATAAGAACTTATAATTTCTTCAATTGTATCCATAAATACAATAAATGAAGATCAAGAAAATTCCAATTTACTATACGTTATATTACAACGAAGTCATATTTACAAAAGTCATTTAGAAAATTCGGAATATTTTGGACTTGCAGGGGAACCTAACGTATGCCATCTTTTTGTCCAGGAGTGTAGTCTGTTTTCTTATTGTGGCTGGGGGTAAGTGTATTCTGGAGAAGACCCCGTGCCGTGAATAGTTCTTTGGCGCGTCTGAGGATCAGGTAATTCTCATTGTGATCTCCCGGGTTTCTGTTCCTTTCCGTTTCGTGTTGCAGACAATCATGTAACAGATACTTTTTGAACAAGCAAACTGGCCAAGATGTTCCTGCTTCGAAGAAATCGGACCTTCGGTCCAGGCCGAGCCACTACAATTCGTCAAACATATTTTCCCTTAGGGCTGCTTCCGTTGGATCATTTTCTCGAGTGGTTTTCCCTTCTCCCGAGATCTATAAAGTTGAGACCGTTAACTGAATCACTCGAATGCGGTACACCCTCTTGTGACTGTTTGAATATCCCGGTGTTGAAACCTTCTCTGCTTTTAACGGAATGTCTCTTAGCGACACATCTTTTTCTCTGTTTGTAAATATATGTCGGATAACTGGGATAGGCTATAATTCTGTTCTTGGCGACGTTAATAAAAAAAAATTGTAAAAGGAAACTTTGTATTATTTGAGAGACTATATCATACTAGACTTTAGTTCTTTTTTCCGAAATGCATTGGCGCAATTGCAAATTGTAGTTTCACTTTAAAATGAAACTTTATTTTTCTTTTATATAAATCGTTTTCTTTGCGTCAGTTTATTTAAAAAAGGTTTAAGACACTATCCTTGAAAACTCAATTTAACACACTTTTAGCACAACACTGAATTTTCGAAGTAAAGTATTTCGAGTAATATTGAGTTGAGTAAAATGGTTGGTTCTTTGTAATGAAAATTTTCATAGGTTATGAATTCAGGGTTTACGGATTTGTTTTTAATGTTTTCTTTTAATGACTAGACTCTAACTACATTGAAAGAATTTTTTAATTTGTTGGTAAAAAAGTTACTGATTAAATTGATAAAAGTACGTCATTTTTTGTCTGTACTGAAATAAATCAAATTTAGTTTGAAAAATGGTTTTATTATTCAAAAAGCTTTTTCTCAATTATTAATACTTTTCTAACACTCTATATGGTAGGCTATAATACATATAATCGTAAATTTTTATGCAATAAAATGATGTGCACAATTAATACCTGAAGAGTATCAATTGTAGCTACAAACTCTGATAATAGTTATTTATATTGTAATTTAAATGTATCACAAAAAATATAATTTTTATATTTCCTATATTATTATAACTTTCCTATCTTCTATCTTTCCTATTTCCTATCTCCTATCCTAATTTCCTATATATATATATACATATTACAATAAAAAGGAAGGGGTAAAAACGAGTGAAATCATAAAAATACACAAAGAAAAAAGAATAAAAGTAAATAAGAATAGAAGGGACAAAGCAAGCTAAACTAGCAGCGAATAAAAAATAATAGAATTACAAAGAAGGAAGCATAAAATAAGCAGAATGAAAGACGTGAAAGTAAAACTTTACTATTGTGTCAAGTTATGGTGTGTTTAGACTAAACGAACAAACGTTCGTTCGTTCTCCACTTCAACAAAATTCAAGTCCAAACGAGCATTTCTTCATGCTGCTTAAATTATTCGCTGAACGTGTCGGAATGCACGAAGGATATTTACTCAATTTTATAAACAAATGCCGGATGTATAAAGAACGTTTGGCTCGTATTCTTTAAATGCGGAGTAGAATAATAACATATTGTTACAGTTACTGTAATTATCCATATACTTTTTTCTCCGAAAGCTTCTAATCAATTTGTATTGTATAATTTATTTTGTTCACAAAACATTCGGTAAATTGATCGTACATGTACGTATAGAACATAGAAATAGTAGATACCTTTAAAGTGTTTTCATCGAAGATTTATTTGTGACGAGGCTAACTGTGAATAAAAACTCAAATGAAAATAACTATTGAACATTTATCCCCGTTTGGTCTAAATTACGGCAACATGTGTTCGCATTCGTCGTGAACATATGTACCTTGATTACCGTTTACACTAGATGAGCACAAATTTGTCGAAATGGGAGACGAACGAGCATTCGTTTGATCTAAACGCATCATTGGATGCGTCTAATTGGGACATATGATCATTTTATATGTGAAAAATATATATTATCTATTACTACTGCATTACACATTCTTCTCTATAATTAAAATTCACGATTTTTGTTAGACACGGTTTAAACATCGTGAGCGTAAACAGTGAAATATGGTTTGTTAATTTCTTTCATTCTGTTAATTATCTAATAATTCCCCATCTAAATATACCTAAAAGCAAGTTTCATTTCAAAATGAAAAATACCATACAGTCCATTAAAACTTAGAATCTATTCATATTCCACATATAATTATTTTCTATAT